AGGAAATTACCAAGACTCGAAGGCCCACAAATCAACGATGCACAATCAATTCCCTCCGTAAAGATGGCTGGATAAATTCATTAAGGAAAAGTAACACTCAAATACCCAAAAGACAAGGCTTCAAAATGGCCTACTCCGTAGATACAAAAAGTGCCTAAAAATATGGCAGGTCTAACAGCACTCAGAAACACCATGGGTCTGAAAGGAGACAAGAGTGAGCAAACCATTCTCTTTTTGGAGTTGATGGGCAAGCAGAAGACGGAGGGGGTCTCCCACATGAATTTAAGTTTTTGCTCACTATTTTATTCTTATGACCCTGCATACTGCTTGGCAAACAGTATAACATTCAGTGATTATTTGTTGAACGCATGAATGTAAGAAAGGCCTGTGTATGTATGGCTGAGTCCCTCTGCTGTTCACCCGAAACTACCACAACATTGTTAATCGGCTATACCCCAAGACAAAAAAGAAAGCTTTAAAAACAGAAAAGAGAGACAGGACAAAAGAGACCATCTCTGCTCCTGCAGGCTAAGCAGGGTACTGAGTAATACAGCATTCCCCAGGGAGTGGGGCCTCTCCGCTTGTCTGGTCCAGAAGCGATAGAAACAGACTGCCCACACAGTGGAAGGAACATGAGCTTTTGAGTCAGACATCCTTTTATGGGTTCAAATGCAAACTCTGTATGGTCTTGGCATAAGTACTTGACCTCTTTGAGCCTCAATGTTTCATCTTTAAAAGGGGATAATACTATTCACTTCACCTCTAAAAGAGGCATGATGATATTTATCCTTATAAAGTCTCTGGAAAAAAAATTACATGAACAGATTTATGCAAAGTAGCTAGCACAAGGGCCAGCATACAGTACGAACTTAACAAATGGTAATGTGAGTTGGAATTAATCATGCCCTCTACAACCAGAGCCTTTCTTCTCCTAGGTCACCTCTAAACATGCTCTGTAGTCTTTCCGATAGGAAGCTGCAGAAAGAATTCTAGTGTAAGTTCACTGGATTTTCTAAAAATGCCCATTTCTTAAAAATATATAATAAAATCCTGTATACCTTCCTTTTTGGTTTACAAAATAACTTCATATGCACCCATAACAATTCTGAAACCATGCATTAATAGATGAAAACACTACTATCCATGTTTAATAAACAAAAATATTATTATTTATGTTTAATAGATGAAAAAACTAAGACCACTTAGCCAGCAAGAGGCAAACTAAGACAGGAACTATAGGTTTTAACAATTATTATAAGGAACATCATTTTCTCAACCTGAAATTCAAAACAAATGATCCTTTTATGGAATAAAATATTCAAATTCAGACTGCTCCAGGACTCACCTCAGATGCTGCCTGGATTACCCTAATACTTACAGCTGAAATCAGAAACAAATTTCTGAAAGAAGAGGGAATACTGTGTTTTTAAACAAAGTCCCTCCTTTGGATTTAATGCATCAACTCTTAATTAGAAAAAAAAAAAAAAGACCTAGAATCAGGCCAATTTGAGTTTTAGCAACCTCTTCCACTTATTAGCCATGGAACCCTGGATGATTCTTAATCCTAGTAAATTTCAATATCTTTATCTGGATAACGGGAAAGCAATACCTACTCCTAAAGTTATGTGAAATTCCAGGCACCGAGAAGGCAGTCAGTAAGTGATGACTCCTCTAATGACCACACCATGGTACTGACCATTTGGACTGGAGGGGAAGTATATGGACCGCTTGTTTCTTCCTGGTTCTTCTAGCTTCTGCATAACCGCTGTTCTGCATCTGTTCAATGGGGATATAACCAGTCCTCATCTGACTTCAGCAGGGGAATAAAGATAACAAGACAGCTGGCAGAGATATTATGCAAATACCAAATATTATTAAAACATTAATGAACTCTGGCAATTTCCCTGAATTTTGATAAATGGCGTTTATTATGCACTGCCTCTCCCACAATCTGGGCTCTCAAATATTAACTAGATAATAACAGCAATCATTCTCCAAAAAGACCAAGGTATAGAGAAATAAAAAGCGAGTCTAGATGACTCCCACAAACACCCGCTTCCAAAGGAATCAGAATCTCCGGACAGAGAACGTTAGGACAGACCACAAAGAGCCGTGCAACCAGTAGTGGGCTCAGACCTACTCCACAGCGTATGCAGACCTCCGCTTTGGTAGGACAGTGGAGTTTCCTGGTGCTGACAGGTCACTGTTTATGACAACAGTCTATACCACCACTTTGCTCTTCTGCATAAAGTTACCTCTAATCTAGATAAAACAAAAAGGATCTTGGAAGCTGGGGGTGCTTATTCCAGGTTAAAAGTCTCAAACAGAGAGTGGCTGTTCTTGCCAATAGCCTAAAAAGAGAGGTAGTTCCATATACTGTTCCTAAAAAGACAGTTCCATTAAAGAGGTCTGCACCAAATTCCCCTGTCATTTCATTCTGTGTGAGGGGATAATGTTTTTAAGCTGCTGACAATCCTCAGGTGCTGCTCAAACAGAGGCAGAACAAAGCCAGGACTCAACCCCCTTTCATCTCCCCTCACCCCAACTCACAGAAATAAGGGTCTGGTGCCACCCCCCCCACCCCCCGTAACACCTTAACAAGCTGAGGGTCATTAAGACACCTCATTCGCATACTCATTAAAGACTCTGAGCTGTGGCAAGTGAAACAAAGTGTACAAAAAGAGATTTTGGTTTTTTTAAGCCCAGTGAAAATCCCCTTTTAGAAAAAGTAAATCCACACAGGGACCCTTGCTGTCACCAAACCTTCACTTGTCTAGAGCAGCCAGCACCTCATTAAAGGAAAGCAAGCACTGCACAAATGAATGCAGCACCACACACAGACAGGCTCATTTCACCATCTGCCTTCTAGTGTCCAGAGGGGTAAGAGGCTTAAATGACATTCTCCTGAATTTTTCTCTCCTGCAGGTGGAAACATCAGATTCCCAGGGGCCAAAAAAGACCGCTCTTGCAAGATCAAGTGGGTAAAAAGGAATAAAAGGGAATTTCGTTTACCTGTCAACACACTCATGACATTCAACACAAAATGAATTAACCAATAATTCATTCACCATTCGTATCTGGGTAAAGGCTTTGTGAAATCAGTGTATCAGCTGTGGGGTTAACACAGAAGTTCCTAATGAGCTGGATGTTTAAACCTACCCCTTCCCACAGCCTCCCCTTTTCTATTCCTTGACTATCCCTGATTGATGGTGACCAAGCACCTTTTTCTAGTGAACGACCTAGAGCAGGAGCCATCGGAATTGATTTGGGGGCTGTAAAAACACAACGGGCAATTTCCATTATACACGCTGAAGAGAAAGGCAATGATTAAACAACTTAAATAACCGCCCTGAGCATTCTCTGTGTATCCCCACCCTTCTGACAAGCACAGTACTGGTTTTCAGATCTGAAAGCTTTGTAAGCTTGTAAAGTTTCCCTCTGGAAGCCCATCCCACCACAAGATTAGGGAGTAATTTAAACACGCGCACACACACATACACACCCCCCAGTTATCTAAATACTAGCTGAATCGTCGAATATCTCAACAGAGTGCTTTCCAACCTCATACACATTCTAGGATACACTTGCAGAGAATAGAGCAAAAGGTAAAATCCAGCCCCAAGTTTTAATGTGCTTCATACAACTTCCCAAAACGTTACTACCTTCCGCGGCCACACGTTCAACTTGATTACCCCCTTCTTGGGCTGTGAGGAAGACGCAAACCGAGACGGAAGGTACACTCTGATAGAACCAGCAACGAGAGGAGACAGCCGGATGAAATACAATAGATGGCAGGACGAAGGAAAAACTCAAGTCTTCCTCTGCAGTCAAAGACCTTTTCAATGAAATTTTCCACTACCTGGTAAATTGCCCAAGAATGTATTTCCCGAGCGCAGAGAGACACGCGGCAGGCAGCGCTACACTGGAGTCCCAGGTCGGTGGAGTGTTAACCCCCAGGCCACGTACTGCATGGCAGCCAGAGTTGCCTCGGTGGAGCCTCAAGCTACGTGGGAGGCTCCCACCAGCGGACTCTCACAGCCATACACCGAACTACAGGATACTAGGGGATTCGATCGCCCGGCCCGGCTCAATTATTTTCCTATACATAACATTCAACAATCTGTTAGGGACCTGTAGGTGCCAGGCTGGGGGATGGGAGAGGCCGCGCTATTCTAATCCAAACGTCGCCGAGGTTCGAAACCCAGGACACCTCTCTAGGCCAGCGAACAGACAGCACACAAAGAGGAAGGCGGGGGCGCTCCTCGGGGTCAGAGGTCTGAACGTGCAGATTTTCGAGCTGGGAATTAGAAATTCCGAGCTCAGCAAGAAACCTGGAGAAGCACCGGAAATGCTTCCAACCGCTTCAATGGGAAATCTATTTGCAAATCAAAGTTGCAGGAACTCCGGGCGCCCAGCCTACTCGAGCGGGTTACTAGGGAACACCCAACAAGTTTGGCCACCGGGGGCTCGGCGTGACAGCGCCGGCGCCGCAAGACTGCTAGCAACTTGTCGCTCGGGAGCCGATCCAGAGCCTCAAGCTGTCTCCGTTCCCCGAGCTCCAGAGAGGACCTGAGACTCGGCGCAGGGAAGGAGCACGTCCGTGCCTCCGGAGACAAATCCCTTCATTGAAGGCGCCGCGGGTTCTCATCTGGACCGCGCGGCTTCCAGGGGCTTCCCCTTAACAGTGAGCCGTTTCACCGCCAACGCTTCACCTGCCTACCACCCCAGTCGGCGAGAAATTAACAAAAGAGTCAGTAATCGGGGGCGGTGCGGAAAAGGGACCCGGCGCAAAGTATAGTTAGGAGGAAGGGAAGGCAGCTCAGGTTGCGGCGGAGAAGGAATGGAAAAGGCGGAACAGAGATGGGTTATACCCCAGGCACCTGGCTCCGGGAAGAAATAAAGAAGGAAAGAACGCGCGAGAAGGGGGAATGGGTTCTTTACCCCGTTTCCCATCTCTCTGTCTCTCTCACACACACACACCCCTCTCTTTTCCTCCTTACCCAGCATGGAAAAGATGAAATCCTTAGCTGTGTGAATCTCCAGTGCTCTCTGGTCGTCATATTCCCGCTGGTCGTGCTTCGTAAATTCTTGGATGAGTTTGTTCAATTCCTCCACCCGAGCTCCCGACCTGAAATCCAGCTCCGGGAACGCAGGCTTGTTGTTACAGCCCAGGGAGGCTGCCTTGCTGGCGGTGGGAGCCGCCATCTTCATACAAAACGCGCCGAGTAGCAGCTCCGCGGCGGCGGCAGCACCCACCCCCGCCCCCCCCACCCAGCCCCCCTGGGCCTCCTCCCCTCGTCGGCTCCTTGGCTGTGACCCCGGCCCGTGGGCGGGCTGGCGGGCCGGCGTCTAGGCGGGCGGTCCCGGCCGGGTGCGCTCCGGGTGTCCGGGCTTCAGGAGGATCTGGACTGCAGCGAGAGTGCGTGTGTGGCCCCGACACCCTTTCCTGCGGCCCCAAGCTGGCCCAGATGCAGTAAGTCCCTGCCCTCCCCTGGCCCTCGCTGGCCCCAACTATAGCGGTTGTAGAGCCAACCTAAGCCTCCCCCGGGCGAGGAAAGTGAAGTGGAAACAATGTGAAATTCACCAGCTCTGAAATCAACAAGCTGCCGGCTCCGGTGTTACGGAGCCAGCACCAGCGTCCCCCATTTAAAGGGACAGCGCACCCAGTGGAAAGAAAAATAAATAAATGACAGAGGTCTGCGCTCCATACCACTTGCCAGTCAGTACTCGGGCAGACGTGAGAGATGTAGATGTAGTCTTTCTCTGCCTCCGCTCCCTTAGCGGGCAGAGGTTGCCACGCGCCTTCGAGGAGAAAGAAGTCTTCCTCTGTCTGATTTTAAGGGCGGTGTCCTGGGCGAGGGCATCCCTATGCGAGCGTTTCCGTCTCAAGAATTCCAGCGCCTTTAGACGGTGAAGGAGCACGCCTTAAGGAATGTAAAACCAACCTTTTGCCCTTTTCTGCACAGACTGCCAAAAGTGTTAGGATTAAACGTATAAAAAAAGTGCCCTCCCTGTCCCGTATAGACATTCCCATTAGCCACTATAGTATTCCTACTTTTGCCCTAGGTAGTTAAATTTTCCTGGATAACAGCTTATTAAACTTAATATATAGTGTCTTAATGATGTTCATTCAGCCCGTTCCAATATTAAGATAGGAAAACCAAAGTGTAGGCGTGAGGAAGGGGAACAGAATTAATTGCCCCACGTTCCAGTGAATGTTCAATGAGATGGTGAAAATTCTCATTCAACAGATAAAATTTGAGCATCTACTATTTGCCAGGTAGAGTGGTAGAATCTCTGTGGATAGTGATAAGACAAAAGACAAGGTTCCTGAGATGGAGTCATACTCAACAAGGCAGATTCTACCTAAGTCCAAGGTCCTTCAGATGTTTTTACTGTTCATGAGGGTTTTGACTCAGACACTTAGGAGGCCTCCTACTCTTTGTTGTTGTTCAGTTGCTAAGTGGTGTTCTAGAAAAGGTTTATCTTCCTGCTAGTTCTCCAAAATCCAACTTGTCTCTATCCCACAGGCTGGATATAAGAGCTTTTTCTTACCTGGGTTCTCATAGCCAAGAATACAAACTCTTCTGTTAGTTCAGGCTCTGTCTGCCTTTTCTTATAACATAGAGCTGATAATTCCTATCTTATAGGTTGTTTTGAAGTTTACATGAAATAAAGTGGGCCAAGCCCATAGTGAAATACCTGACATAATAAGTGCTTAATTAAATGTTAGCTACTACAATCCCTGGGTCTGGAAGATCCCCTGGAGAAGGAAATGGCAACCTACTCCAGAATTTTTGTCTGGGAAACCCCATGGACAGAGGAGCCTGGTCAGGGCTATAGTCCCTGGGGTTGCAAAAGAGTCAGATACAACTTAGCAACTAAAACAAAACAAGGACAACAACAAACCATGGAGGAGAAGGGTAAAAAAGTTTTTAAGTAAATTGGTAATTTCTTTTTTCTTTGCAAATTAAATGACTGAGTCAATTCCTTCTATGCCTTTTTCTGCAAGCTTTCCCTAAGACCGTCCCCCAAGCTGGTGGCAACATCTTTCTTCTTAGAACCTCCACTGCACCCTTTCAGAAACTTTCATATGCCTCTGATGAACTTTGACCTACTTTTATTATTGTTAATGCAAGTTTCAAACTTGAACTTCCCTAGGATGTCTGCATCTTACTCATCTTCAGATTGGTCCTTGCACAAGTCCTCAATATTTATTGCATCAGGTGTTGAATGAAGAACTTTGGCATAACCAGTTAATTTCTTTTTGGGTTTCCTTCTCTTTGAAACAAGCTTTCTCACCCTGTTAATATTAAAGAGGGAATATACATACCCACCTAAATGCTTGTGCACTGATGAGGGAGTTACTTAAAACTCTGGCTTTTGCAGGTCTGCTATGTTGCCCTGATTTCTCACATGTGAGAGTATTACCATTACTTGGGCAGTGGAATTAAACTATGCAAGCACTTGGAACCACAATACAAATCGATCCACTCCCATCTGTCAGTTCTCTCATGATCAATGATAGGCATCAGTAAAACAGCTGGTTGAGGCACAATCATTTCATGGATCAGAATGATACTAGTTCACCCATTCAAGCAACAACCTCCAACCTAATAGAGTTTGAAGAATTCAGGCAAAAATTCAAGACACTCTTTCTTTGTTAATTTCCCAAAGTGTGAATGATCCAGTGCTCCTCCTTGTGATACTTACAGTCATAGAGATAAAACAGGTAGTAGAAATTATACCGTGTCGTGCCTCAGCCATGGTCTCCCTGTTCTTCTACGCTATCTGCTCACTTTCCATCAGCCAGATCAGAATCCTATGAGTTATTGACCTTCAGTGAGTCTGTGTATTTGAATAACATCCTGAATAGTAATCGAAATACCTTTTAAATGCTCTTATACAACTACAATAAGATCCTTTGTCCAACTGGTAAATCAGGGAAAGAGGGTCAGATCGTAATTTCTTGAACTGGTCTTTCGGGAGACTTAAACCTCTGGGTTCTAGTAGACTGAGCTCCTCAAGGGTAAGTGGTGTCTCTTTACCTTCCTAAACACCACATTTAATACATTTCTTGGCTCACGTTATGACCTTAATTAATGTGTTTAATGAATGAACAAATTAATACCATCTCTTAAAGTCCAGGAAGTCAACATTTAGGTGATTTGTGCTACGATAAAATACCTCAGTGTAAACTATCTATGGGGTTTCCCACTGGTGCAAGGGTAAAGAATCCATTTGCCAATGCAGGAGATGCAAGAGACACAGGTTCCATCCTTGGGTCAGGAAGATCCCCTGGAGTAGGAAATGGCGACCCACTACAGTAGGCTTGCCTGGAAAATTCCATGGACAGAGGAGCTCAGCGAGCTACAGTCCACAGTGTCACAGTCAGATGTGACTGAGCACATACAACAACAATAACAAAAGCTATCCGTGGTTTCCCAACAATCACTTGAGTTGTTATAAATGTAGGTATTTCTGCTTCTATTTCTGTAGCCTTTTATTTTTCCCTGTGTTTTATATGGCCTAAGAGAAGGAATGGAAATGGAGAGGAAGGTGAAGAGAAACAGAATAATGATTAGAAGATATTTAAGAGTGTCTTCAGAGATCCCCTGGTGGCTTAGAAGGAAATGGCAGCTCACTCCAGTATTCTTGCCTGCGAAATCTTATGGACAGAATTGCCTGGCAGGCGACAGTTCATGGAGTCGCAAAGAGTCAGACAAGACTGAGCAACTAACGACATCAAAAGAGTATCTTAGACTTGTAATAAAAGCACAGGTTTTCTAGAGTTTTTCAGATGATTCAGGAAAGATCAGTAGAGACTGCCATCTAAACAATCACTAAGGTAAGTCATTCCTTAGGGCTTCCTAGGTGGCTCAGTGGTAAAGAATCTGCCTGCAATGCAGAGATGTAGGCTCAATCCCTCGGTTGGGAAGATCCCCTGGAGAAGGACAGGGCAACCCACTCTAGTATTCTTGCCTAGGAAATCCCATGGCAGAAGTGCCTGGAGGGCTACAGTTCATGGGGTGGCAAAGAGTCAGACATGATTTAGGGACTAAAACAAAAACAAAAAAACAGGTCATTCCTTTACTTGCATGTGCAGCTTCAAACAGATAAAGAAACTCCCGGTCTTTCCAAACTGCTGTCCCACTTAGAGGCAGAAACTAACCTGTTACTTTCCCATTACAAAAGTACATTAGTTTGTGAAAGAAGCTTTCTGCTTACTTCTCTGGGGCTTGTTTGTTTTTAAATACAACTCTCAAGTTCTGTGGCACACTCTTAGCCACGGATAACTGGGCTGTATTAAAAACAGAAAGTTCCACATCTATGTGATGAATTAACAAGATATAATTTTAAACAAAGATTCTCTGATCTGGCAGAGTTTAAAGAACAGCCCAAGCCACATGATCTGGCCTTCTTAGGCAGTTGAATATTTAATTAAAAGTCTAACCAAGGAAGGTAGCCAGAGCTTCTTATGATTTGTAAACATAGGCAGGAAAAAGAGGCAAACACCATAGACATGTGGAATGTTGATGGCAGAAGGGATTTGAGAGATAAATTCCATCCACCACCTTCACTTTGAGATAGGAGAACTGGGACACAGTAAAGGAAAGGACACTTGCCTACATAGCAGAGACAGTGCTGTTCTATTTCTCATACTAACTTCAAATTTTAGTAAATATTTCTTGTGTTTTCAGACCACCAGAGAGGATGTGGAGAATGCTAGGAAACTGGATTAGAATCATAATAAAAACAAGAGTTGAGTGTCCCTTGGGCAAAATGGACTCATTGATCTTGAAAGTTTAAATCTTGATAAACCAGGGATTGCTGACATTTTGAGTTACTTAGCTACAGTTTGTATTTTTTGTCCTCCCAATAGGTAGCGGTCAGGGCTAGAGCTGAATTTTCAAGTGCATGTGACTTCATCTGGGGCAAGTTGGTAATTTTACCTCTGGCAAGATTAGGCCACTGAATTGTTAGTGAGGTCCCTAGAGCAGGGTAGATAAGTCCTGACAGTTCTAACAAGGTGACCTCAGAGTGAAGCCCCACCCCTCTGACACTCACAGTTTCATGGGGGCTCCTTTCAGTCTCTCCTTGAATCCTATGCCCTGAGAGCCCCTGGGGACCTGGGTGGTCTATCTTGCTTTGCAGAAACTGCAGAGATACAAATCACCCAACTCTGTCCTTTTATTCTCTGCTCCTGCTAA